TGGCTCTGTTCCCAAGGAGCATCCTGCAGCACAGGCCCACCTGCCTCATACAGATTTTATTTCTTATTAAAGATAAGCTCCCCTCCATCCAAAAAACAGTGAATTGATTAAGGAATTTTAGAACATCATGAATTGAAATATGTTTGTTTTAGAAGTTTTGTATATATTTCACCTTTTGTACTTTCTGTAAAGGATTACATAAAGTTTCCAACCAAAATAATTTTGAACCAGAAGGTGACTTTCTCTTAGACAGTATCAAAGTAGTATGCTTGAAACTCTTCCTTCTTTCTGAAGGAAGGGAATGGTATTTCACACTCTGTTGAACTCACCTTGCTCCTACCTGATGGTTCTATTTGGTCTCATCAGCATTTTGCAGCAGAAACTGGAGTTCATATTTTTATCACCAGCCCCCAGCGCCTGTCTTTATCTTGATTGTGGCAGCACCCACAGTGTGCACTGACAGGCTTAAGAAATGCAAGAATTTTGGGCTGCTTCTCTGTGCTTGAGGTCTTTGCTGTGCATTTTATAAACTTGCTGAAGGTTAGACTCATGTCTTCTGATTTTGAAAGTAAAGGATACAGTTATTCTCACATAACGGTACTCTATCATGCAGATTGCTTCCTAGGAATGCTTCCCCTTCACAAGAGGCCAGACTCAACAGCCCGAGACCTTTGGTGTGCTTGTGGCTTTGCAAGGTCAGAGAACCAATGAATGTTTCCTAGCAAGGTGTGACTTACTCATTTGGGTCAGGTACCAATTTGTATTGTACCCTCCCATTTCTCTTGGTGCAGTTTTCCACAAATGATTTGCAACTGGATCTCTCATAAATCCCAGCCAGGGAAGGCAAAGATGGGGGGATGAGATGGTTCTGCAGGTTGTGCTCATGCCAGGGTGCAGACAAAAGACAGAGGATGGTGAGGAAGAAAAATAAACTCTTGACATATCTTATAGAAGCACAACAAAAAGGTATTTTCAGAGAATGAAAGATTTCAGAAAACAATAAATTTTATATGCAAAAGCAAGTATTGATTTTCACTCTTAAAAAAAATAATCTGCAGAAGCAATATTCATCATGTAACTTCCGCCAGTAAGGCCAGATGCACCTTGAAAAGCACTGGCAAAACACACAGTGCTCACGTAGATGAAAAATTGTAGACACTTTTCCTCTCTCAAACATGTTTTAATAGACATTGGTTTTCTACTCAGTGCAAGCTACCAAGCATACTAATGCCATCACATAAAAGCTCAGTACTTAGATTGCAAGAATTTTAAAGATACTCTTTCTCTCTCTTTTCTTTGGCTTACTTCAGAATGTCTGATACATGGAGGAGAGAGAAGGAGGGATGTTGCTGCAATCTCTATGTGGAAGTACACCAATAATAACATCTCTTTAAAACCCCATAATATTCACACAGAGTAAAAATGTCAGAATACGAAAAAGGAGATTTTTATTTGCTTTTCATAAGCCCCTCTACAATGCAAAATTTGCATCCCACAGAAAGAAAACACTGAGGAAAGCACATTTCACTGGCTGCAATGCCGGCACAGTTAATGGTGCTTGCAATTGCTTTTCCATTTTTATTTCCTCTGAAGCTTAAAGATCCATGGAAGGTAAAACACACTCATTTTCATCTTCTGATCCTCCATCTGTCCAGTAACACTGCAGCCTGTGGCCCCTGCACAAGGATGGGTCTTCCCATGCTCCAGACATGGGAACACATGCCTGTGTGGCATGGCCTTAGGTGTTCCACATTTCCTCTAAACACAACCATGGGCCACCTTCCCTTGTGCCCAGGAGAACCCTGCCCCAAATAAGAGTTTTCCCTCTCCATGGTTTCACCAGGGAGAATAGTGATTTTTTTTTTTTAAGAAAATGGCATAGTTTGGTAAAGTGCATTATTTGCCCTCTAGTGTGTTTACTAAAAGATGTTTTCTAGAAATTGAAAATAGACACTATTCCCATTCAAAGTATTTTAAAATTTATGCTTAACTCAAGCTCCATTTATTATGGGAAAAAATTTGGAGAAATCAGTGTTTTGTTTTGGCATTTTTAAAGAGAAAATTTATCAGAACTTTACCTCACAAGCAGTATAAATACACATAGGCTGTTTCACAAGAAACAGAACCAAAAATTCTCAGAAAAGAGACTCTACCAGTAGAGGCAGAAAATAAAAAGCCAAGTATTTCTGGGTGAAGCCAAGATTTTCTTCAATTTTTTTCTTGATTGTAAGAATTACAACAGAAGTATGGCTAGAGAAAAATATTATGCAATAAAACTTACAATAAAGTTTACCACAGGGAAGTCATGAGGACTGAATATGGATACCACCTGCTGTAGAAGTATTGTGAGATTTTCATAAGATTTCAGATTTTACATGAGAACAAGAAGCACACTGGTTGGGCTGGTGGCCAGGCTGCAGGCACAGGGTATTAGAGTCCTGTGAGGAGTAACTTTGATCACAGTGACTGAGAATTCAGTTATTCAAGAAGATTAAACAGCTGAAGTTTTTATGGATACCACAAAATTGTCAGATGGGCTTGACTGTGGGAAATGAGAACAAAAGAAGTTTGGAAAGAGGGTCTGAGGAATTGAGGAATTCCCCCATCATGACTTCTTTGCAACTTAGTACACATGTGCAATTCATTGCTTACAGACTGGAATGAATGTTCTCCAGAATTTGAAAGTTACAAGTCTGAAGCACAAGAAGTTGACTGCAGTCCTGAACCCCTATAGGTGCTCCTGTAAGACACCCTGTGCTATCACCTGGTGGCTGCAGTTCCATCGAACTTCTCTAAACGAAATGAAACTTTTTTGAGACCTGATAATTTTTGCAAGCCTAAATAAGCTTTGTGCGTATCTATTTTAAATTTTAAAAATCATTTTGGTGTATTCTAATCCTTGAAGCTTTAAAAATGTTTTTATGAACAGGCTCATGTTCACTTACATTTTCTGCCAAATGTTCCAGAATGCGGCAAGCCCCTCCATTTCTGGACAGAAATGATGCATGTCTCAGATTATTGCAGAGAGATACATATTATCCAGCAAGCTATATGACACCACTGACAATCTGCCTTCTAATATCTGTTTGCTTGATATACTCTTATTTTAAAGGGCAGTTGAATGATGCTCTGGAAATGCTGCTATATTCCCCATCTGCTGAATTCAATTAACACAGCAGGTGGGCAGTCAAGCTATTTTGACAACTATTCTTCCATCTCAAAACTATGTAGTATTTATATTCCAAAAGGTTTCAAATACTGACATGATAATTTGTAGTATCTTCAAATGCTTCTTTGTATGAGTTAAAAATTCAGACAAACCTGGTTTTGCTACAGTCCCCAAAGCTCACAGTCAAAGGCAAAGCTGTGAAAACTTTCTCAGCTCAAAGCTCTGCAACTGCATGTGATGACTTAACCAGTGGCGTTCCCATCAGGTCTCTGGAAATGATTACAGGGTTTTTCATGTTGTTACCATGGAAGACAGAGAAAGTGTTAAATTAGCAGGATTTGAGGGATCAGATTCTTACCATTCATAGAAAATGGAACCACAATGTCTTCCCTCTGCAGCTGATGTATTTTATTACTTCCCTGGCATCAGCTGGGCTTTTTTTACAAGTTAAAGATAGGTTTGCATAAACCTACCTGACATAGTCAAACAAGGTACACAAGTGCTACCCGAAGCACAGTTTAGAAAATACTTCTTATACTTCACATATATATCTGGAATGAAACACAGTTTTGGGTATTTGGCAATATTATAGTCCTGTTTCTGGTGTGAGGTTTCTTTGGTCTTAATTTATTTATTTAAACAACTGTTCCTCATCTGCACTTATTTCAGCAGTGTGGGACCAGATTCTGCTGCTCCAAAACTATTGCTATCAGCTGAGTTACTGTTACTAAATTAAAAGCAAAATGCGGTGAAATAATGAGTATATCATTATTATTGTTATACTAATTTTGACAGTGTTTGTGTTGTACAACACCAGAGAAAAATGTGGCTCCTGCCCTAAAGAATCCATAGTTTCAGAATCTCAAACTGGATCCCTTCCAGCTCATTTTCTGTTTCTAGGGTTATGCACTTTGCCTCTTGCAGGATCCTCCCACATACCTAAAATCACACTTACCATTTCAGTGTTTAAGTAAATTGTGAGAAGCAGGAAAGCAAGTTGCCTGCGTGCATGCTTCAAGTTGCTGTTGCTTTAATGAACTTTTTTCACGCTCTTTCATCTCTAAATTTAGCTAACTACTAAAGCCAGAGTTTAGCAGATTGGGGGACACAGGAAACACTAATGCACAGACTGTATATAATCACTCTCGAAAGAACAGCACAGATTACAAGACATTGTAATTACTATTCTGTAGCCAAATGAAGTCCATTTTATGAAATCACACCTTTTCAGATCTAATAAACCATTAGAATCATTCATTCAAGACCAACATATGCAGCACAAAATCAAAAGTATTATTTGAGGGCTGACAACAAGAATCTGAAAATCTGTTCATGTATTTGAATAGATCACATTGTGACTTGTGCCAGGCACAAGTACACCTTAAATCTGAAATGTAATCTTTAAAATAGTTGCCTCAATGCCGTTTAATTAGAACATACTGAAGAATCATGGGAAAGAGTTAAGAGTGTGAATTCAAGTACAGAGATTTAGAAGTGTACTGTACAGATACTGGCAATGACACAATGATGATACAATACTGAGCTTTATGAAACTGCAGAAAAGTTATGTCATTGTAAATTCTGGTTCATTTTCAGATACAAGAAATATGGTAAACCAGGAAATATTCTATATTGTTTAGTTTAGATAAATGACAAGCAGTTTTATGCCCTGGATCACATACATAAAATCTGATTAAAGTATTAAACTTTGTGCTTATATAGATAGTTTGAAAGTTTTAATCTTCCTAGTTCTCAGAAATTATACTTCCAGTATTCTAGCCAAAAAGCTTTCCCTCTTTTATGAGAAAACAGCACAAGCACAACCCAGAAAGTTTGTTAATTCTTTCTTTAATAAAGCAGGCTAGATGTTCTTCCAGAGTAAAGATACAAAGCTCCACGACTAAATCAATACCCAGTCAAAATATGATACTGTCTTTCTGCAGTACATACATACTGACATGACATGCAAGAGACTTTAAAGTAATAAATTACAGATGTGAGATACAGTAAAACAGTCTCAGATGTGCACTCTTAATGCTGCATTAGTTTTGTCAGCAATTTGCAATGTTTATAAATTTTCTATCTGATTATTGTTATCCATGAACATTATGAGCAGGTCATTTCTGAAGAAAACGAATAATCTTGTATTTCAAATGACAATTTCTCTTTCAGTATATTCTTAACATAACACAAAACAGGGTGATGATTTGACATTTAACTTACAAGTTTTTAATTTAATGAATATACTAAAATACTTTTAACTATCTCTGCACTATGATCAAATATCAGAGACAACATATTTGAGATGTGAAAGGACATGGCACAACCAAAGCAGATTCATTTACTGGAGTTACTCTGATCTTATTTGTATAATCATCTCTCTGCTTTTGAAGATTTTTATCATATCCCATGGCATGACACACATTCAGCTCATCGATATTCACTGATTCATCTCAGAAACTGCCCAAATCTTTATATAATTTTACTCCTGTTTTAAAATATGCAATATTAAAGATACAACTAATTTACAAAAATAAAAAACCTGTACAACTCACACTCTTCCATTGGCATTGAGACTGTTCAAGAAAATAGCAATGTGATCCCTGAAACGACCCACTAGAATAGAAATCAAAAGATTGATGCTTAAAAAAATAAAAAAGAAGTAAAAACATTTTCTCCTGCCAAGCTACTGGAATCTTTGAAGGTTTATGTATCACAGAATATAAAACTTTTCTCTCTGTCCCCAGAATATGTCTTTCCTCTTTGCACAGGTACTTCTTCAACAGCCACCTTTTGTTGATGGCACCACAAGCCTTGTTGGATAGGTTGAGGCTAAAAAAGCTTGAAAGACCTAAATAAATCAACCAGCCACCCAATCCCCTGGCGTTCATGAAAACTCAGGGTAATAAAATAAACTGGAGACAGGCATGCATACTGAAATTCTAAAGAGATTTTTTATGAAGCTTAAAATTAAACCAAAATAAACACCTCTCCAAAATGTTATACGTTTAAGATCTTTCATCTAAAGTCATCTGACTGTTTGCATCACTCTGTTCAGAGAGGTGTGATGCTATGCCTGCTCATAACATTCTAGCATTTTAACATTTTACAAGGCACAAATCATCTCTGAAGAACTACATGGTGGCTTTTGAACATGTAAGGATGGCAGCTACCACGTAATTACATAACAATTAACTCTTCAGTTCAGTCACCGACATAGACCTTGTAAAATATAAGACCAGAAAATTACATGTCACCTCATCTTTGGGATAGGGTACTTCATTCACAATTACAGACTAAGCAGCAAATAACTACAATTTCATAACTTGCAACAAACACAAGCTTTGCCATGCAAATAGGAAGTTGTTGCATGGTATAGTGTATATGCATCTTAAAAGCAAATAATACTCTTTTTTTGCTGCAAGAGGAGACCACCAGGTTTTTTTTTGTGAATTCCAACAGAGGTTAAAGGGATCAGAGAGTACAGAAAGCCCCCCTTATTTACTTGAAAAAAGCTGTTATTAAATGTACTATGGACTTGATGGGAAAGAAATACACTTTTCCATAGAAAAACAAATAACAGAGTTAATTTGAAACTTTCTGTTGGTTAACGCTGCTGCACCATTATGTTTCTCTTGATTAGAAATATGGAAATCATATAGGAATATATGTAAACAGAGTGTATAGAAGACAATAGCAATGAGACATAAAGTGCTTTTAATTATGAACATTTCATTTCACTTTGCAACCTTCCCTGGTAAGCTATCATACTTGAGCTAGCTTTAGTTCAACCAGCTCAGGTCTATATCATTGTTACTTCCCTTGCACCTACTGCTTTAACTGTGGTAGTCTGAGTAAAATTTAAAAAATCATGCCAGGGGAAGTAAAAGTAGACAAAGAGGGAAAGAGGTGAACTGGGAACTCTCAAGGGGGAAAAGTAGACAAAGGCAAATAAGGCTCTATTGTGTAAGTCCCCATTCTCAAGGACTTTGTCACATAACCTCCTGTAAGCACTGAGGAACAACTACACAAACCTCTGCCCTGAACACACCTCAGGCTATTGCCAGATGAAAATGAAGAAACTAGGATTCCTCAAGGGAGAACAAACTTCCTACCAGGATGATGCTTTTAATCTTTTTGATACTCATTCCCTATTTCTCTAATCAGTCTCTGAAGAAACAGTACCCTTTCCTACACAGAAAACCCAGTCAAGCATATTTTGTAAAAGGACAATATTAAATCTAGCCCGTCTTTGCTGCTTCAGGTCTTATGCCAAGTATCCACATATTTCCGTTATGGTACCTGGCCTATACTATTCTATGATTTGGGAAAGCAATAGTTCTATAGTAACAAAGCTCCTAAGTAAGGTAACAGCATAATTAATAATAACTGTATATTAGAACTGGGTTTTACTGGGTCTTTATTTAAGGCAGTTATTAAAATGTATATATTATTTTTTAAAAGTAGCAAATTTATGGGTTTTTTGTTTGTTTGTTTGCCTTTTTATTTTAATCTAGGCTTTTGGCAGCTGAAATGGGTTACCTTCATCTATTTTCTGTCCTCATAATCCAAAGAACTATCCAGCCAGTGGAATCACAGAAATCAGAGCTGAGTTGTAATGACAGATTTCCCGAACTCTCCCAACCTGTTTCTTTAGATGTCCAGTGGGCTGACAATAGCAAAGTCAGAATCTTTGCTGTTATTACTACTGTCGTCATCAGGGCTGGAGCTCAGGTTGCTGGAAGAGGCTGAAATGGAACCCATCAGAGGGTCAGAAAATATCAAAGAAGAACGAGACGGAGCTTCTGGCTTCACTGCTGCCTCCTTGTGTGCCTGAGGGACCTGCACCGGCTCTGGAACAGCATTTTTACTTCTTTCCTCTTCTTTGGAAACCATAATATAGTCATCAGCACTCTTGCTCTCACTAGTGCTCGAATCAGCTGTAGTCTGTGAAACAACGGCACAGGAAGGACTTAAAGTGAGCACCAGTCTTACCACATAACGAGGTTTATGAAGCATGTCAGGCATATGGGAATGGGACAAAGGAATAATTATTATCCAAGAGTGGCAATGACTAAATAAAGTGAAAAATAAAATGGATATTAACTTTAGATGACATAATTCATTATTTCATAGAATCACAGAGTATTCTGAGCTGGCAGGGACCCACAAGGATCATTGAGTCCAGCTCTAAAGTGAATGACCCACACAGGGATCAAATCCACAACCTTGACATATTAGCACCATGCTCTGATCAAACTGAGCTAATTTTAAAAAGCACAAAATGCCATACTTTAAAAATACATTTTTTGGTCTAACAGTCTTACGTGTCTCACCATCATAGTGCATCCATGTAGTGACCACAGCAGCCATGCATCAAACACATACATTACAGCTGTGAACATTTTCAGTAATTACAGTGGGTTTCTGTACTATTTAGTGAAGTAGTTTTGAGAATTTTTTTGCTGGTTTGCATGTACAGTAGTGTTTTGGAGCTTGTCAGGAGAATGGTTTGATATAAAATTTCCTAGTAAAACCCTGACTTGTGAAACCAGAACCACCCATAGACCTGATTTAGTGTGCACCAGTTTGGGTTCAAACTGTGTTTAAACAACACTTGCCAGTGTTGTTGACTATTTCCTGACTCTTCCAGAAAATGAGTGTCTGGGAATCCCAATTCTGTCTGGTTAGACCTTGGGAAATGTGTGTCCCTGAGCAGTTAGGTAGTGGCTCAAGACCACGCATCAGTGCATTAGAAAACACTATGAAATCTCAATTTTATATTCCATTATACTAGCCACATTGAGAGTCCCAGCTTTTCCAGTTAGAGCTATATGTAATTACAAAGGGAGATTGCCATGCACAGTAGAGTGGGATTTCTCACTTGTTGACAACTGGCAGCCTTTTAGCTTGGTTGCAACCCAAATGGACAACACTGCTTCCTTCTCCAAGAGCTGCATTCAGCTCCTGTCTAGTGCTATGTTCCTCTGGCAAGAATATGACTGCTTTCTTGGTTGTTTCCACACAAGTTATTTTCAGAGTAATAATTCAAGCTGCTAAACAGCCTGTAGGTACAAGCATCCTGAAATGGTGTGATGCTGAAACCAATATATTTGACTACATGAATGCAAGACTGAGAAAAAGGAGAATCAGAGGGAAATGTGTATGTCCACATTTGTGCCACTATACAAGCCCTTCTGCTGTTAGACTTCCACATGCACACACACACACACACACACAAAAAGAAAAAAAGGCAGTTACATAAAGAAAAAACAGGAATAATCTGAATGAGATCATGGTATATAAAACTGGAGTACCACAAGCATCAGCAAGCCACAACTGCACTTACAGAATCAATGGCTGCCAGCAAAATTTATTTTGCAAAATTTATTATTACAGCTGAAAATTATTTTCTTGTTTTTACTACTGATTATAAATCAGAATATTCTTGAAATGGTACTGTAGAGTAGCTCAGGAAGCAAACCCCACCTGATTATGAATGACTGTAAGATGAAATGAGGGAGCTGGAAGTCTTTGGTTGTCATTTACATAGTCATTACAAATTGTTAGAAATCACAATCAAGATAAATTTCAGCTGAATGGGAGAATATATTCAAATACAGAATTGTGCCCAAATTTATAAGGATTCAAATATCTCCCTTTCTAATAAATGTTGAAATATCCTGTTTTTGTGTGTTATCTACAAATATGCAGGTATAATAATATTATATAATTAGTATTACTATACGTTTAATAATATAAAATATTCTGTTTTGTAATGAACTAATTTTAATACTTTATAATTCAAATGTAAGTATTTTGAATCCAGAACATTGGTTAAAATTTTACCTGTCCTAATGTAAGACAGTCATCACACTGATAGAAACTGGCATTTATTATTTTTGATAGTAAATCTTTTCACAGAAGACTTAATAAAATTCATACAAAAGTCAACAAATTGGTTTTAGAAAGATCAACAACTAGCCTTTTCTGAGTGTTATCAAAATTGATCTCCAACCCTCCAGATAAATGCAGAACCAGAGTAGTTCAAATGCCAAAAACTTCAAGCAGTTTCTATGAAGTTAAAACCACAGAGTTCTATCCTACAAGGAGAGATACTTCACTGTTTAAACACTTCTGAGCTGAGACATCATTTGTTAGTAATTAGCCTTTTGCTTTCATCTTGTCTATTTGAAATGCTGTCTTCATGAGCTGTCAGTGAGTCAGCTGCCATCTCCAGGGGGCTGAGGACGCAGGCAGCACACAGCCGTGGCTCTGCTCCATCAACACAGAATCACAGAATAGTTTGGGACTATGCGACCTTTAAAGGTCACATAGTCCAACAGCGAGGCACAGGGACGTCTTCAACTAGACCAGCTTGCTGAGAGCTCTGTCCAACCAGACTATCAATGTTTCCAGGGATGGGGCACCCACCACCTCTCTGGGAAACCTGTTCCAGTGTATCATACCATTCTCATCACAAAAAAAAATTTATTTGTTAGATCTAATCTAAATCAACCCTCTTTGAGTTCAGAATCATCGCCCCTTGTCCTGTTGCAAATGGCCCTGCTAAATTTGTCTCCACCTCTCTTGAAAGCCCTCTTTCAGTACTGAACACATACAATTAGGTCTCCCTGGAGCCTTCTCTTCTCCAGGCTGAAAATCACCAACTCTCTCAGCCTGCCTTCACCGGAGAGGTGCTCCAGCCCTCTAATCATCTTTGTCACGCTGCTCTGGACTTGTTCCCACGTCCTTTATGTGCTGGAGACCCCAGAGCTGGATGCAGTGCTCCAGATGGAGTCTCACCTGGAGGGGAGCAGAGGGCCAGAATCACCACCCTGGATCTGTTGACCACACTGCTGTGGATGCAGCCCAGGGTACAGCTGGATTTCTGAGCTCAAATGCATATTTGGAAAATGTCCAGCCTCTCATCCACCAGTATTCCCCATTCTTCTCAAGCAAGGCTGTTCTCAATCCCTAATCCTCCAGCCTGTATTGATACTTTTTTGGGAGCTCTAAATGCCATAGTCAAAATTTCAGTACTTTGTTCCCACCCCCCTGCCCTGTACAACAGAAATATACATTCTTCTGAACAATCACTGCCACTTAATTCACCTGGTCTCTTTCCACACTTCTATTTAAAAGCTCTGAGGGAATGCAGTACCGTCTCATTTCTCAAAATTATACACTTTATTATTCCAATCTATCAAGAATCCTTTATTTCAGTCCTCACAGCCCTCACACCTCCACCTTGTGTAGGGTGACACAGATCTTACTTAGTGAAACACTCGTTCAGCAAGATCAGTATTTCTGTCTCTTGCACTCCCCAATTTCCTAAATTCTGCTTTCAAGAGTGTGCTCTAGTGCAGTTGGAAAAGCTCTTTAATAAAGGAAAGAAAACTACTCATCCAAATTTCTTGCTGGTGCTGTTGAGTTTCCAACAGTAGTCTTCACGCCACCCACACTTTTTGGTTTGGTTAAGAGACCTATAGCTCACTGAAGTAACAGGGAAGCAGCAAAGTGGAGATATTGACCCCAAAATCCTATAAAAGGGCTTCCTGTAAATGTTTGCCTATCCCTAGCATACACTGGTATTTTGGAACTGATATTTCCAGAGGTAAAATACCTCCTTCCTTCTTCTTTTGCCTGTTTCTGTTTCAGGAAACTCATGCTGACGTGAAGCATGTTTTCTCCCATCTGCTGCCACTACTGAATAAATGAAAAATGACAGAATTATACTTCCAGTAGCTTTGAAAGTTAACAACCTTACGCCCGTTGCCATATGGCTTCTCCAAACAATTTTTCCTGATGAATATCAGCTACTAGGACCAGGCTTATTTCATTTGCCTTCACACTGTGAATGAGTTAAAACTAACTGCAAGGATACAATTCACGAAAGCTTAGAAGAACAGCAGCTCATTTTGCCTCCTTCTTTGAACAGACATAAAGGCAAGATAATGTGTTAATTATCATTCATTATTTAGCAACAGAAGCCTTCTGTTTGTCAACTGCATGCTGCTACCAAAGCCAAACATTCCAAAAAATGCTTGATTTCTTTCAGCCTTTATCTTAATGTTTTTTGCATTTTTAATTTTGCAGCTTTCTTTTCTAAAGAAGGGGTATATCCTTATCCTCATTTTGCAGAAAGGGATTTTGAGACAAAAAAGAGGAAGAATACTTTTTAAAAAAGCAAAGATGATAAATAATTTATACTTATATAAGAACCAGGTACAAAAGACCAGATTTTAGTCTCAATTACAGAATAGCTATACCTGTAACTGTTCCAGCTGTCCGAGAAAATAACCCTACAACTCCAGCAAAGAACAATTTCTACCGTACAAAACACACCAAATAGAATTACAGGCATTACCAAAGTAACAGAAAAGGCAAAGAAATTTATTTAGCAAGAAATGCATTAAAATGCCTAGATGTGGTTGTTTTTTAATCCCCCTGCAGCTCTCAGTAAGTACTCCCAGCATGACCCAGGGCACCAGTGCAGCCCCTTTTCTTCAGCAGAGGTAAAAGCCTGGGCTGTGGCCTGGTTTGGGCCAACAACTGAGCCCATCAATTAACAGTCTAATATCACAGTCAACTGTTCTGCAGTTTTATTTTCCTGGCTTTTATAAAAAGGGGTCCAAAGCTCTCCTCTTTTTGTTTGATTTTATGTGTGGTGGTTACAGACAGAGGGCTTGGAAACAGACTAACCAGGGGGTAGTCAGACAGACAGACAAACTACTCCTAACTAACTAACTAAGGATACTACCAGCCCTCCTGGAGTGCCATTTCTAACACTAATCTTCTTCAATGGTGGGAGCCACGGATGTCACTCGGCTCCTGGGGCTGGATGTAAGTACCCTGAGTACACTCTGGGATAAGCCCACACATCACTATACATCACCCTGAAAATCTGCACTGGAGAGAAATCTGTGCAAACCAGGCTTCACCTGCTCTACCCTCTTCAATACTTGAAGAGTCCCAGTATATCCATTATACATGATTTAGACCAGCCTCTGAGTCAGGGCTTCTCCAGCATCAGCAGGGTCTGCACAGACACACACACACGCACATGCACACACACATACACACACAGAGCTTGCTACCATGTGATATGGCATTCTACCTTCTAGTTTCTAGAAGTGAAAAATCATAAAAAAACCCATTGTTTGCCATTTTGGGAAGAAAAGAGGTACTTCATATAAAATACTAGGACATCAAGGGCAAAAATAGGAGGCCATTATATACTGTATCAGTTTAACCTATAGCTTTATTATGGCAGAAAATAATGGTTGTGATGACAACAGCTAAGCAAACAATGAAAACTCTCTAGCAAAGCTTTGCTCTTTGACATTACTGAGTATAAAAAATAAATCTTGGTATGGCCTCTAATACCAAAATACAAACATGTTTTTGAACATAGAGTGTTCTAACTCAGGGGGATCGTGTCTAAGAAATCAAAATGACCCTGTGTCATTATTTGAAAATGAATAAATATTTCCTGTAGCTCCTAAGTAAATTTGTCAAAAGTGACTGACTGCAGACTCAGTTAGACTTTGAGGTGATAGTGCTGCCACTGATTTATGAGTGTGAGCATCAGCAGCAGGGTGGCAGACTTAATAGAACTCCAACATAGAAATGAGCAGGCACAAAAGTACTTTTAAGATTATGTTTGGGTTTGATTGAGTCGTAGACAGAGAAGGCCCTTTGTCTATGAACTTGTCCTATGTATACTTGTCCTTGTATGCTTTATATGTGAAAACATTGTTTACACATTCAAGGAGAAAGTCAATTCAATGAAGTAGAAGGTAAAAGCAACCTCTTGCTATTTCCTTTTTGGCAATGGCCATGAATACACTGCATTGCAGTTAATCAGCTCTTACATAATGGGATCCTGGAGGACAAGGACAATGAGAATAATAATGTGGGAACATTTGGTATGGGAACAGTTACCTGCAGTTTTTACATTTTTTTTTGTTAGGAAATTAATCTGATTCTGTGATTCAACAGTGTGAAAGAATTCACCCCGAACACTGCCTAACACTTAGACTTCAACATATGTTTGTGGAGCATAAGCCTACAATAAAAATAATTGATCAGAATAGGACAGTAGCTAGAGATACACTTTTAACCCACTCTCCATATGGACCAGGAATGTTGGTGTGTCCCATGTAATGTATGGATATGCTAGAGGAAGTCTCCAAAAAATGGAAGACCATCAATGGCCTGCTTGAGATGCTTTTATTTTACCTGTTGTCCTGAGATGAACTGTTGCTTTGTCATGACAGGTCCCTTTAGGACATCACCTGCCCCCTTGTTCTGATTATTGGAACAGTAGTGATCATCAGCAATAGTGATTTGCTCATTTTCTTCAGCTTCCAGCTGGCTCTGGTTGAAACGCAATGAACCTTTCAGGATATCCTTGATCTGTTGTTGAATAGGAGGGGAAAGGATGTAAGTTAAAAACTGGGAGGAATTCTACATTTTCTAAAGCTCTGGGCAGACTACTTTCATACACCATTTCCCAAAAATATTTGCTTTGAAAAGATAGGAAGCAAGTCAATATTCATATCTATATTGGTTAAAGGTAGAAATAACAGTGAAATGTGGTTTTTATTACAATCTGGAAAACAACTATCCAGGAAATCTAAAGAGAATAAAACTGTTAAGATTACTTCCTGGCTCATTATAGGTTTAACACATCACATTGCTCTTCATAAAATGTATTTTGAGGGAGCAGAGGCAGTAAAAACAGAGCTACAGACGCTCATTTTATGTATGTAGTATTTTTTCCTTTAATTCAATGATGTTCAAGTGTTGTCACAATGAAACAATGAGGACACAGGCATAGTTGATGTCTAGCAAGTACAGTTTGCATTAAGAAAAATGATAGCATGGCTTAAGTCCAGCATTTGGTGTTGCATTTCTTTAGTTTTGATTTGAGACTTCCAAAACTTCCACAGGAGCAAAAACTGTGCAAGTTGTTTGAACTCTTTATAGTTGAGTTTTATTGTTAAAAATAAAAATACACCACAAGGTTTGATGCACCAGTAAAACAGCTACAAGAAGACAAAACAGCAGTATACAAAAAGAATAACATAGGAGAAAAAAAGGAGAAAGGATTAAGAACTCTGAAGGGCACAAGAAGGTTAAGCTAAGCAATAGTAATACCTGCTTCAAACCAGCCAAGGAAACCAGAATTTCATCTTCTTTTTCCAAGCGTTCTTGCAAAATGACTTCCTGAATATTTCCTGTAACATCAAAAGAAAAGAAAGGTAAAGAGAGAAAACATCCTATATAAACTCTAACGTGCTGTTACTTACTGCTGACTGATGCTTTCAAAACAAACTCTGTGACCTGCAAACACAATTCTGTATCCAAACCTAGAGACTGACATCCTTATTATCCGCAGAGGTGAGGCCAGCCTGAGCCTGGCACTGCTACCAGGAAGCCTCCAGAAATGCTCTGCTTCTACAGGATTTCTGTTGCCTCTGTGTACCAAGGAACTCAGGCTACTACTGGCCCCTAGAAGACCACACCAGCCTCTGTGTTACATACAGTTTTGAACTTGAAAATGCTTTGGAAAAAAATTAAAAACAGCAGGAGAAATATGCCACATCTCACAGAAGGGTTTAGGTAGAAGCACAGCAATCTTCATCTTGATCCCACGGCCATTGCAGATGCTAGAATACTCTTCTTTATAGAAGGAATACAAAAAGTTTAATTCCCTTTCTATTCTCTTCTTTTACGTAAAAGACCCAGAGTTGAGCAAAACTTATTTGACAGAAGGAGCAGTGCACTACCAACACTTCAGGAGACTCTTGCCTTCCATACCCCCAGTGTGATCCTTCAAGGATGCATTTCACTACCCCGGAATAGAGTGTTTGCAGGAAGACAACCCCAGGCAGTGCTACACTCCAACATAGGCGAGAGAAACTACAGTAACTCTGAAGACTGAGATCATTCTCTGGCCTCCTAGCACCTACTTTCCTCCTCTTTAGGGAAACACCAAGGATTCCTAATGAGAAATTGGCAGAACAAGATTGTATCTGTCAACTGAAAATGACAAAATACTCCTTTGTGCCAATCCTGTCTTACATACACAGACTGAGCCCAAATCCCTCGTGACACTCATTTGGGAAGAATGCTTTGCTGCTCATGAGTATCTGTATCTCAGGTACTTCACAATTAGAGCTTTGTACCATTAATCCACACCTGAATTGCATTTGTTTGTTTTTAACAATGTTCAGGGCCCAAATCAGTGAAAAGCCAGAACTGTTTTAACAGATGATCCTGACAAGGACAAATATGATGACACTGCCAACTCTGACACAATATGAAGTTTCAAGTAGAAGCATTGAGTAATTTGCTATGAGTTCTGTGTTTACAGAATAAATAGCAAAACAATGAGATTGTGGGAGACAGGACACGAAGAAAGATTAGAAGTGGAGAGGTAGATTTAAAACTTGTGTATAAACACAAGTATGAAATTGAGTTAGGGCCAGAAATCAGTAATGGGTATAAAGGAGGAATGGAAAGGGCTAAGAGGAGAAAGGATCCACACCTAAGTACTAAATGAACCGCTAAAAAGCAATCTGAGATGTAGAAGGAATGAAAGAATCTAGAGCCATGAAAGGAAATAGCTGACAAAAGTCAAGGTGATGTGATCAAGGCCAAGAGCATCAGTGACGGTACCATAACTCAACTTTGCATAAACAGCCTGCCTGAACAAGGAGATCTCTGCTCACCTTATTTAGCACACATTATTTACTATACTACAGTGGCAATGTCCTGCAGCAATGTTGTACAATTGTCAAATTGCTGCACAATTGAACAATTTTACATGAGAAAGACACTGCATTATGAAGGCCAGAAATAGTAAAAAACCCAGATCTTTCTGAAAATATGTAGCATCTTGAATTGAGAAAATCCATAATTATTGCAACATTTTATTTGCTTTATTTTACATCTAAATTCTCTAGTCCCTCAATTTGGTAAGTAAAATATGTTAATATTTATTTATAAAAAAATAAGTTACATTCTGTTTTCCACTATTTCAAAGAATGCATGATTTCCTTCTTTTAAAAGGTTCAGAATTTGAAACATCAGAAGGCCAAAGCTTCTGATAGGCAGGACAGCCATGTTTGACCACAGCCTGAATCACTGAATTCAACTCTCTTTTCCATTTCTCAGCATTAGAAAGAAAAGTATTCCATAGTGTGTGATCCCCACATAAATTAAACCATACATTAAAAAACTAGGAGATGAATATTGACTAAGCAGATGGACCAAGAAAATAATTCAAAGCAAACCTCCAACCTGCTGAAGACTAAATGAAGGAAATCTAAAAAATTGGGACAACAAGAGCAAGAAAACAAAGCTAAAAGGTGTTCCACATGATGTGGAAATACTCTACTATTATTACTATTCTTTAGAGAAGTTTTTTAAGTCAGTATTTTAAAAAACATGGAAAATAATTTATCATCACTATAAAACCCAGCTGTAACTGTGTTTGATGAGCCAGTACATTGAAAAATTTCTAAACAATTATGAATGGAATATGATAGTTACCCAGCAGTAAAAATTAACAGAAGTGTTTATATCATCACATATTTACTTTAGCAAGATTAACACTAGATTTTAATATTAGCTTCAGAGGAAAAAAAGATTAGGAACCAAAAGGTAGGAAATACAGCCAATAAGTAGCAACTGAGGCATAAAGGCATAAATTGAGATGTCCTTCTCTAGTGCAATGAAACAGAAGGAAGGGAGAATTCCTTGTGGAACTGGCAATGAATCCTGTTCTTAAATATGCCCTTGAACTGCATAAGGCTTCTAATCTGCTGCCCTCATCTCTTTTGAATGCAAAGGTTTTTTTAACTTTTAAATAATGGAACCCAAATTAACAGTGCTCATTCTTCTTCCCTGGCAAATGAGTAGGGAGGAATTTAAAAAAAAATTTTTAGATGAGTGAAACATACAGGCAATGTGATTTTGCATGACTACCTCCTTGATCACATCCTTTTGCTGGGACCACCTTTTGAAATCCATGTGGACTGGAAAGAGAGGTGGGAAGAAGAGGAAGGATGGCAAGAAAGTTGGTATGTGCTCTGCAGCTGCTCTCCTGTGAATGGCTGTGCCAGGGCACTGGGGGGACTCTCATCCAAGCTTTTCCCACTGCCGGGGGGACCTCACAGGGCAATCAGTTGCTGAGATGAAAAGGGAAAACAACTCTCAAATGCAGACAAAAGGTTATTTTATATTCCTGTATCTCAAAAGATACCTTTGCAAATAGAAATCCTTTAAAAGATACTATTTCTAGAGTGCTAGGGAACATATTTGATATGATACTACTCAGCTGAAGGACTTTTACTTTAAGCTGAGATGTATAATTTAATTATTCTTTGTTCATATGAAATACTACTGTATTTTGAGAGAAGTGCTTCATGTATATGAATGAATTTGCTACATACTGATTTTTTTCTTTATCTGCTGCTCTATATCAGTACCTCACAGCTTTTTATTTTCTTTTTTTTTAAATAAAAAAGTAACTTATCTTTAAAAAACCCAGGAGATGTCAATTTGGAAGTGGAAACACCTTCCTACCTTTAAAAAACCCCCCACTGATACAATGAATCAAACAAACAGATTATGTGATTTCTATATTATTCAAGACTGAGTCCAGTTTGATTCTGTGCTATGAATATCCATCTATTGAGATAGCTGTTTTTATTCAAAAGTTATCAAAATCCTATTGTACATAGAAAACTAAGGTTAAGGTCAAATATTCCTGACTGCCTTGTTTGGTGTTTTTTTCTTTCTTTCGAGATTTCATTTAGCTAATGCCAAATGTTTTCTGCAGAGAAAAAGACAGTATTCCTTTATTCAATGAAGTTCTTTGTAGAGGAAAACAAAAAGTGAATTCTGCAACTTCTCACCTGGTGGTCAGAGCACTGCAGTGAGATGTATGAGATACCAGACTGACATTACAAGACTCTGGATTTGTTTCAAAATAGTGCTAACAAACGTCTGACTATCACAAAATGAACTGTCATACCATGACTGTGATCCTGCCTAAGCCTCAGAAATACCAGAGCTGCTAAACCAGTTGCTCTCTTCAGAAGTCAGCAACATTATCCACTTTGATGGATGCCCTCAAACCAGATTCACATGTCAAAGGATGCCTTTTATATAATGGATTAGAATTAATTTTGGGTACTTATTCTTAAACGAGCAGACTTGTTAAAGTTTGATAGATACTAGATCAGTAAATCAATAATTACTTCCTGAGTGAGACTGTGATCAGCTGCCTTGATATACTTTAAATACAACTACAACTACAGAGCAGGAACATGCAAATGATTGCATTCACATTCTTTCTTAAAAAAACATGGAGAAACGCTGTAGTAGGTAGTGATTTTGTTTGCAACAGTTGAAACAGCTAAAAATTAAGATTAAATATATTTTTCATTTCTTGCTCTTTGAGTTATGGCAAATTGTGAATCACTTTACATGCACACTCACTGTAGAAGTAATTAAAAAAATAAATCACGATTTCTATTTCTTTCCCCTAAATTAATTGCTAAATTTTAAACTGAAGACATGCTGTCTATAGTGATGAAAGAGGAAAAACATCCACAGCAGCTTCTAGCAGGAAAATTAGAGAAAGCTTATGCTCTCTGATGACTGAAATGCTCCATATTGCATGATAGTGTGAGCAGTCACTGCCGAGTTCCCAGCCCAGGGAAAGGGGCTATTCAAAACATTTCTCTCTGAATGTGGAAAAGCTATTAGGCTTGGCATAATTATTTTAGAGGCTTATTAAATAAAGTAACTTTCACTGAAATTTTTCTGGCATTCAATACAGATTTTGCAAGAAACCCAACCAGAGCTGCACTAAATGAATGGGAAAACTTGTCTGCTGTAGACAAGGTCCCCTCAGGCATCTCTTCATGCCCATCCATCCAGAAGACAAATCTGCACCTCTTCCTCTCCACCGAGGAGGTGGGAGACAAACACCCTGCCAGATGAAGGCACAAAACGCCCTTGACTTAAAATCAGATGGATGTGGAGAGAACCAAACTTCTCGGAGGTTCTTTGTTTTCTCCTGCACTGCCGCTTTTGCAGTGCATCTCCCTCCTAATGATTTCTATTTTAAGCTGGTCTCCTGGGCCTTTCCAGGAAGATGACTCCTGCTGAGAGGAGCTAACTCGAAATAGCTGCAAGCTGTATTAGGAATGCTGCTTTTCTA